ACTCCAAACTTAACCTCACCAGATCGCTGCAGAAGGTGACCACACTTCAACCTTCGGACATCTTCAACACTAAAGTCGACTCCTGGAGTGAATTCGCCAGCTGGACCCACCTCGACACCACCAACCCCTACTGGTAAAAACAACAACTCAAACAAACGTCAAACAAACATCAATCAAACGTCAAACAAAACAATTTTTGTTGTTATTGTTGTTGTTTTTTTTTTTACATATATATATTATTATTAATTTTTTTTTTATTGGACAAGATCTGTGATATAAATTTAACGAAAAAAAAACAAAAACGAAACGAATTTGATCAAAAAAACAAAAAAACAAATATGATGAAGACCACATAAAAGAAACAAATGGAAGCGAGGATGGATAAACCGAACGTGATAATTCTTCTTAAACGTGCCAACCTTTAATTAATGTGGTGTACTTACGATAAGACTGATTACGACAGAACATATGTTATTATTATTACTACTATTACTATTATATATTTGTGTTTTTTTTTACTAGCAGCTGAAGACGTGTCGTCACATATGAATACTTTTCGTTAGGTAACTTGATTATTATTTTTTTTTAATTATTTTACATAATTTGTGCTTTGATAGTTCCTCGAGTGCGCTCAATTACGTTTACTACTACTATTTACTCTTGTACATAATGCATAGAAATATATTTTTTTTATATATATATATATACACACATATTGCGTGAACATAACCCTAAATCGAGAAGAAACAATCGAGGGTTCAGTTCACATGCCTCTACGATTTTGTTCTTTGAACATCCTACTTTTTTTTTGTTTAAAAAACGTTTATTTAGTGTGTAGTGCAAAGCTGATATTATATTAATATAGAAATAGAAATATTAATTGGAGGAACGGTAATGATATTTTTACATTATATTTTACTGCAATAATTCTATGAAGAAAACAATACGTGTATAATTCTATATATATAGATATAAAAAAGTAATTCGCGCGAAATATGAAGATTTTTTTTTAAATTTGTGAATGAACTCAAAGCCATTTAATTTATGTGTTGTGTTTTCGATAATTATATTATTATTACTACTATTACTATTATTTTTTTTTAAATCGATTTCTCTATTTTGTGTATTTGTGTGTATAAATTTTTAATAAAGGTTATTTTTTATTATTTATTTAATTCCAACTGTTTTCATTCGTGTACCTCCCACCAACCGTCAATTCCGCAATTGTTTTCTCGCAATCGATTTTTTTCACTCTATCCATGCTTTTCCATAACAACCCTTGGATTGTTACGTAGCAACTTTTCATTAATTCATTTGTTATAAACAATTTAATTTTTAAAAAGCAAATGGCGATAGTGATCATATGTTTTGCAAAAGTGACACGATTTCATTCAATCTTTACAATTTCTACAATTGTTTTTTTTTGTAATGACCTTAATGAATAATTCACTTGTTACCATTAAAACAATTGCGAAAACAAATAAAAACAATTACGAAATTAAACAGAAGTAACGCGATTTTGAATTACTCAATTCACTCAAACATCAATTAATAATAACAAATTCCCATCGATTCATTTGTTATAAACAAATTAATAATAAAAAAAAGCAAATGGCGAAAGTGCAAAAGTAACGCGATTTCATTCAAACTTTACAATTTCTACAATTCACTTGTTACAAATAAAACAATAGCGAAATGTTAATTTTTAATATCAAGTTTGCATCAATTCATTTGTTTTAAACAAATTTGTAAAGCAAACATTTATAGTTATATTAAAAAAAAACAAGTAGCATCATTTTGTTTTGCAAAAGTGACGCGATTAAATTCATCCTTTACAATTTCTGCAATTGTTTTCTTTTTGTAATAACTTTACTGAATAATTCACTCGTTACAAACAAAGCGTCAAATAAAACAATTGCGAAATGTCAGTTCATAATGTCAAGTTTCTATCAATTCATTTGTTATAAACAAAATTTGTAAAACGAAACAATTTAAAGCTACAAATTTGTTTAAAAATAATAAGAAATGACAAAATTAAACATAGTTTTGTTTTGCAAAAGTGTCACGATTTTCCGAATAGATCAACAAACAAATAAAAACAATTTGTTATAAACAAAACAATTGCAATTAATGATCCGACCAATCATTCTGTAACGTGGTAAAATCGACAACGCTGCAAGTGCGCTCCACGT